TGAACGAACTAAAAAGTTGAGACAGCTAGATGAGAAACAATTGAAAACGGGATGAATTTAGGTATATGAAATGGTGATCCAGGTAACCGACGTTTGTTTCGACCCAAGTCACACTTCTCTGCGAAAGTGGGGAATCATAGACATATAAACAAAGCCACTCCAGCAGCCCAAGAGAAAAGAAAACCGACACTCTGTGAAACGTAAAACCAGGCGTTTTTCGACACGATGACATTCTATCCTGTCACGTCCGCGACTCGCTCCCAGTTCAGTGCTTGTGCTTATGCGTGAATCGGCTGAAGAAGGCGCTGAAACGGTTCTTCTTCTTCTCGGATCCCTTGTCGGAGTGCGCGCCGTTGGAGCCGTTGGAGCCGTTGGCGGCGTCGGCCTTGGCGGGCTCCGCAGCCGCATCGCTAGGGGGCACCTCGGTCTTGTCGGTCTCGGTCACGGGGGTGTCCACGGAGGGACCGTCGGTCTTGGATGCTTCCGGAGCAACCGTTGTGTCGATGGGAGCGGGGGCAAGGGCAGGTACTTCGGCGGCGGGAGCAAGGGCAACTACATCGGCGGCGGCGGGGGTCTCGGCCGCGGTCGGGGTCTCTTCGATCTTGGGCACCTCAGAGGCCTTGGGCGCCTCAATGGCGGGGGCGACCGTGGCGAGCTCCTCGACGGGAACCTCGGTCTTGCTGACCTGGACGTTGCTGACCTCAGTCACAGGGTTGTCGATTGCCTGCACATCCGTAATGGTGGCAGAGGTGACGGGCACCGCCGCGACGGGCGTGGTCTCGTCGACAGCCGGGACGGGCTTGACCTCCTTGAGCAGCTCGGCCTCGACCTCCTTCTTCTCCTCGACGGCGGCGGTGTTGGCCGCAGCCTCGGGCCTCCTGCCGGCTTCGAGGATGGATCCCTTGACCTCGGCGGGGACCTCGGGAGAAACCTCCTCGTGAGCCTCCTGCTTGGGGGCGGGCGTGGTCTCGGTCTCGTCGACAGGCGGGACGGGCTTGACCTCCTTCAGCAGTTCAGCCTCGACCTCCTTCTTCTCCTCGACCGCGACAGTGTTGGCGGCAGCCTCGGGGCTCTTGTCGGCTTCGGTGATGGACTCCTTGACCTCGGCGGGGACTTCGGGAGAAACCTCCTCTCGGGTCGCCTCCTTGGCGGCGGTCTCTTGCTGAGCAAGGACATCCTGAAGGGGCTCAGGCAGCTTCTCCTTGACGGAGTCGGGAAGGTTCTGCCTGGCGGCTTCAGTAGCGGCGGCAACAGCGTCATTGGCAGCGGCAGAAGCAGCCGCAGCGGCGTCGTTGGCGACAGGCGCGGCGGTCTCGACGAGATTGTCCTTGGCGGCAATGACGGCGGAAAGGACGGCGGCGCCCGTCGTGGTGGCGGCGGCAGCAATGGCGGCGGCGGGGTCCGTCTCCGACTCCGACTTCTCGGTGCCGACGCCGGCGGTGCCCTCAGAGGCGGCGGGAACTTCGGTGACCTTCTCCTTGAGCTCCTCCTCGACCTTGGCCTTGTCCGCGACTTCTTCGGGGACGGCTGAGGCCTCGGGCTCGGCGTGGGCCTTTTCTTGGCTCTCCTTGACGACTTCGGGGACCTTGGTGGCATCGGGAATCTTGGCCTCGAGCGGGACCTGGGCGGCCAGGCCGAGGGTTGTGGCGCCGGAGCCGACAGTGTTGATGTTGACGTCTCCCGCGGCGGTGACGGGAAGGCTGGATTCGGGAATCAGATTGCTGGTGATGGGGGGCAGGTCGGCGACGTCAACGCCGGGAAGGGCGTCGCTCTTGTCGTAAGACTCCTTGTCCAGCTTGACGTGGTCGTTGGTGCTCTCGATGCCGACATCGGGGACCTTCTCGCCAGGCTCGAGCTTGAAGGGGTTGACAGCGCCGGCAGCAGCGGGCAGGGGGTTGACGCCGATGGGCTTGTCCAGCTCGGTGCTGGGGGTGATGGGGAAGCCGCCAGGAACGTCCGAAGGGGTGGCGGCGCCCTCGGGCTTGTCAATCGGCTGTTCAGAAGCCATTGCGACGGTGGTGGCCTGAGGAGTAACGGTGTTGGTCAAGGCAGCTGCGGGGTCGGACTGAAGGATGTCCTCGGGCGTGATGAAGTTGTTGATGTTGCCCTCGTGGTCGGCCTCCTTGGGGGCAGATTCGTTTACTGTCCAGTTGCCGTCGACGACGTACTAAATGCAGCGAAACAGAGAAGAGAAGAGTCAGTAAAGAACAGATTTTTGGCAGATAAAACAAACAAGCACCCCTCGCTGGAGAGGATCGCAAATATATATGTACTATGATGCAGTGCGTAACAGGCTGAATCCACTATCCAGGTGCGTGTGACGTGATATATGCACGACAACAGCCTTGGAAGGGGGTTGGCCAGGCCGGTGCGGGGGCTGGTCT